TAGCCGTTCTAGCTTTTCGCAATTCAACAGGTAGGAATAAATGACACTGAGCTGCTTGACATCAGCCTTTTTATTCATGCAATATTCTGTCATGAAAATGTGGGACATTTCTAAAAATAAACGTTTTGAGAGTCATTTTTCTTTATCAAAAACCTCAACACCGCCATAATTCATGGAGTGACCTGTGTTGTTAATATGCGATGCCAAAGCACATCTCTCTGGATGTAATCTGGCGTCACTTTTGTGTGAAGTCTCCATAGACAATGTCGAAAGCTTGATTTTATCGTCAAAAGAGTCAACTTAAGCCTAAGAGTTTTGCCAATTTCCCAATTAACAATTAATATATATATATATATATATATATATATATATATGTTGACTCGAACTCTTACATGGTACTTGGTACTTGTACAACAAAAACAACTGTAATGTCATTGAACTGTTTTTGCTATCAATAATAATTTTGTGTTACTATAATTTTTGCCATTTACGATCTTTATAAAATAACTATGACATGGGAGCTAAGGGAGAACTTATTGAAGATTTCTCTCCCGGCAGCGCAAAAAAAAACCTATCGAGATGCGGTGAACGTCCGTTCGTGTTCTCATTAGTGATTTCAAGTTCGACAAGCCCAAGCTTAAATGGCTTTCTAGCAAAGCATCCATGAAAGCCGAGTGATGTGGTCTTGGATCCTACTGATCACTTAAGGTTCATTACCACTATATACAGGGTGACTTTGAAGTTGAGTCATTAATTTTCAGATAATGATTGTAGAAGGAAGATAAACCAAAATATGTATGTGTGTAAAAATAAAAAAATAAATAAAAAAAAATTTTACCTTGTTTAATAAAGTATCGTCCCGACAAGTATTTCAGTGCGGACCTGTATTTGATCGTGTGGTCTTGGAGCAGCATGCCCTGACCTGTGAGGTCTTAAGTCACCTGATTCACGAGCCCTTTGTACTACATTAACAAAGGCACGAGGGGTTGGTTGCACTCGATTGGGAAACCGATTCGCATAAATCCGTGATGCATCCGGGAGCATTTTGTAAATACTGCCCCCCCGTAAATAAGAATCATGTCCACAAGTTCAGCATTTTCGTAAACATGTGCCATTTTTGATTTCGTTTGAGCCACGCAACAAACACACATACAAACACAAACACTAACGCGACTGACGAAAAACATCGTGATAAACGTTTCAAATTCTTTCGCTTTTTTGTTTCCGATGCGAAGAACAGGTCAGACGGATTATATCCGTTGTCGCCAAACACGAACATATTATTATTGAGACAGGGCGGTACTCAAACTTCCAAAGGGCTATAACTTTGTTACTTTAATTTTACCAGAAAAATGGTAAAGGAAAAAAACATTTCTTTTGATCAGATCTACTCACTGTTAAAATAAATGACTCAACTTCGAAGTCACCCTGTATATATACACAGAGGAAATAAAATTTGTCTGACGGCTTGAGTTCAACGTGTACGAGAGACAAGCGCGAGAAGTGTGTATCAACACGTGTTAGAAAGAGATAGAAGCCGGCTGAAGAGCAAAGGTGATGACCACATTGTCTAGCTAAGGTGCTATCTGCTGCATTGCCAATATGTTACACTAGAAAATGTTCGCACAAGCTTCTACAATAGGTTAGGTTACTGTCAAATCTAAGAAGGAGGTCTGTGCGAATATTCAATTTAATATTCTGTTTTCAGTTTGATTAGCATTATTAATTCAAATCTTGATGCGACATAGTGTTTTAATTTATTTTAGAATCATCTCTGACTTTCACCGATGGTGATAAAATCAACACATCCTGAGTTATTGTTACATTTTGCGATTGGAAAATGTAACAAAAAACATTACATAATATAAATTATCACTGCCTGCGTGTATGTAGGTGAAAATCATTTCGAAGCAGGTTGGAGGTGGAAACATTGCCTAGGAATGCGGTGTCGCCAAGCAAACCAATGACACAATGTTGCAGAATTTGTGGCGATCTTGACCTTTCATTTCGACTTAAAATGGCGCGCCGTTAGGACCGATCCGGTATCGATCCCAAACAGGTTCGACACAATTCACAATTCAAAAATGTGTACGCTAAAATAAAATAAACTAATGCATATTTTCAACATGCATCTTAATTCAAGGACTTGGTGAACACATTGAACCCAAGCCGCCAGACAAATTTGCTTCTCGGTGTATATTAAAATGCTGTGCGGTATTCCGTTGCATGCTGTGAAAGTTGTCATCATTTTCCTTGTCATGACCATCTTCTTCAATTGCTTAGAATATCAGATTTTATTATTTGGCTTCTAGGTCTAGTAACATAATTTTATGGTAAACAGTTTCAAAAATAATGGGCAACGTGCTTTTGTGGGTTTGTTTCCCCGTACATTTGTCTTCAAAAATTGTTTTTGATACTCGATCTCCTCATGCTATCTGGGCTCAATGCCTGGCGTAACGGTCTCCTTGTTTGTTTCACTCGTACTGCGGTGGTGCTTCGGTGGGCGCTGCCGCGTCTGACGATATGGAAAGGAGCAACGTTGGCAGATGGACGGTAACTACCGATAGGGCAGGCAAAGAATGTCTGTGGACTAATTGTATGGACCTGTTTGACTGATTTAATTCGTTTAGTTTCTTTATTGTAAATGTTTGTGATTATTTCCTTTTCTTGGGGGGTTTACCATTTGCTGAATTTAATCCTTTATAGATTGATGATGGCGTTGCGTAGGACGTGCCATTTTTTTCCTTACCACTGAAACTGAGAATCACGCTTACGCAAATCGTTGGTGATGTTCTCACAAACATGTGTATACAGTCTACGTTAGCTTAACGCAGAACTCTTCCACTCTGAGATCCTAAAGCAAGTGGTTGTTTTCCTCGTTTACTTTCAGTGACTAAACTCTACTTCAGCCTTAACAGACTTCGTCGCCGTGCATTGAGATCGTAAGCTCTAAAATAAATTCAGACCGCGTGTCTGCATACGCGTAAATAATACTGCAAAATGGCATCGATTTCTCTGATATACACAGAGCTGGAACGATTTACTAACAATGTTGTGCAAGCGAGGATACTATACTCTATAAATAATCTGCTTTTGATAAATATGTAGATGCATTAATTGGGTACAATATGTATTGGTATTTTGCATTATACCTCAGTATTTGTTCATTGTGCTTAATGCTCCCGAACGGTACTAGAGCTTCTTTGTTCTTGAAGTGTTAAAAACGATCAACCAAGAGAAAGCTTCATGTTATATCGTGAAACCATCAAAGTAGTCATTATACCGGAAGGAAGCTGGGATTCTGGATAAAACTTTTGCTTGAAAACTTATTTGTTCATGGTTAGGTTCAAGTAGTTTAAGATCATTTACAATTTGATGTTACTCGCAAAAATAAATACGAATATGAGATTTGTAGAAAGTACGTTATATTTTTTTGTATGGTTTGGCAGCTTATAAACATGTTTGCTAAATACCCGTCTCATGCGATCTTGGCACATCTCAGGTGTAATTTGGCTAATTGCAGCCAGACACATTAATGTATACCTGTAAAATATATATTTTTACAAATGCATTTAGTTTTGTGCTGCTACATTCTCATTTAGCTTGAAATCTCTATGAGTAAAAATTCAAGGATATGAGACTAACGATTTGAGTGTATCAATTTGCAAAAACTAAACATGAAAGCAACCTCTGAAACTTATACTGGCAAATAAAATTACATCCTTTTGGGATGAAAATCAACAACGTATCGGTTGCCTGTTTTTTTTTTTTAGGCTACACTATGCATAAAAATGGGATAGATTAAAATTTGATTAAAAGTGACCTTGAATAATTTATATACTCGTACATCTATCAAGAAGCTGCATATGAACGTGTCACTGATTAGCCGGAATGTCCAATAGAGATATGTACGTATATGATTGACGGGGAGAGAAATAATACATTGACTAGTGTCCGACCGGCTAGCTTTGGTCCAAAATATGTTCATGGCTGTGGTACAAAAGAGTTAATATACTTCAACTTGATTTTTGGCAATGAGGTAGTGTTCCTTTTTATTCACCAAATATACTAAAAAGCGTTTTTAAAAACAAGGTTTTGTTTAGCTGTTTATTTGATACTCATATCATAAGGGTGACTGTGGACAATGTAAATCTCCATTTTGCGCCCGCCGCAATACTGGATTTAAAATGGCGTCATCATCCTTATTGTGTTTTACTGCGGCTCACTGTGAACATTAATCACTTGTATCTACAAGCATAAATATTTTCTCTGGATGAGTGACTGATGAAAGTGAATTCATTAACAAGATCTGAAAACGAGCTTTTGACAAAATATTTACGGTAGAAAAAGTTAACAACTTATTAAAAATAGCATGGCGTTCACTAACCGCGTTTAGCACCATTGCTAATTTTATATCAAGGAATGGTGTATTACCTATTCAGTCATAAATTTAATATATATTATTAACTTATCTGTGTTTTCAATTTGCATTCACAACTAAAGAAATATAGTGATCGCAGAAATTGAATTTTAGATGAACAGTTTTAGGGGGTTTTACAATGTCTGTTTTCATTTGAAAACTTGATATTTTTTAAATATTTCCAATAGGTAAAAATATTTTTTTAATTTTTAGTTCATTTGATGAACAGCTAAATAAGAGCTTCTTTTTAAATGTATTTTTCATTTTATTTATTATAATCTGATAAGCAGTCGGCTACATCGACTTTATTGATACCACAAAACTGACGCCATCTAGCTGTGGTGACTCGGCTGTCAAACGCGAACCTAGGTACTTTATAGTTACAACAGATAACTGTTGTTCATTCCCGCAGTGGTCGATTCAGGTAATAGATGCCACTATGAGCTGACTCCTTATGCTTCAACTTCCGATTTTCTGACTTAAAAGATTTAAATATTTAAATAAAAAAAATGTTTTTTAGTTTTCTCATCTTTTTTATTTTATTTGAACATTAAAGTGATTTTAGTGTTTATTGTTTCAGGTGAGTTCGAAAGACACTACTTAAAACTGTCCCGGCGAGTGAGATACACTTTTAGTTTGCGCTCTTTCTCATACATATTATAATAACCAAGTACATTACAAGAATTAAAAGAAAAGTGAAATTGCAGGCAATACTTCTTGAATGAAAATACTGTCAGCACGACAAATGTTTAATATCATATATCTCAGGCACTATTGAATCATTTTTGTTGAAATTTTGCACGATAACAAAATTGACTATGAGCCATGTAAAACTAAATAATTTATATGGTTTATAAACTGCAATTATAGCACAAATATATAATAAATAAGACACGATAAATTTATTATAATTTATCTGGTAGGTTTAAAACAACTTCTAACAGCAGTATTTTTTTTCAAAATCATAATTGTTAATTAAGAGGCTGACGATATTAGATGTAATGTGTACATTAAGAAGAACCATGCGGTTGATTTCCCTTAGCTTTGTGGTCGCGATTTTGGTAAAATTTGGGGAGCTTTGGTTCCATAGTGAATATAACTGCATTTTTGGAAACTGAACTGAAACATTTTAGGGCAGCAGCGGTGGCCGCGGTGGTAGAGGCGTCGTCTCCTGATCAGTCGCGGTGTGCTGCGAGGATGTAGTGATTGTCCGTAGGTGGTAGATGGTCTCTGACTGTCGAACGCGGAGGTACCGCCCGGCGGATCTCGTAGGCGGGGCCAGAATGTCTGCATGCTGCATGCACACGTGTTCCCTCGCTAGAGTCCGTGTGGCGTCCTTCCATTTTTCCTCTGTACCTATCCTCCTATAGCCTTACGGTACCTACCCCATGGGTGTTTAGGCTTTAGGCCTTCGTGGAGTATAAAAAAAAACACCTCCAAACATTGAGTATTTTTTCGATCTCCGTTTTTTGTGCTTAAGTATTTCGCAGAGACCTATAAGCATTGTTTTCGTACCATTCTTTCAGAATTCTAAATATTTGTTAGAAGGTACCCAACTTACGGGGTTCGAACACCCCCCGAAATATCAAAATTTAGAAAAATTGCATGTTTTTCAATTTACGATGATCTCCCCCTCCTGCTCTTCAGTTTTCAATCTGCGATACTCACCTCAAGACGGACATTTTCCTGAATATCAATCCTGAGCTCTTCGACTACCACTTTTTTAATATGGACCCCCTCCCAGAAAATATTTTCTAGACCCACCCCTAGAGTGCGAGGTTCATCTCTATAGCGTCCATTACATGCTTCGGAATGCGGTAGATGAGGTAGTAGAATGGGCGAATCGGTGACTGATCAAAATTAGCATCCCTTTTTTTGGCTAAAAATGTTCTGAAGTTCGTGCGTTACGAAAAAATTTCACCGTGTTTAGGAAAATCTTTTACTTGTAATATCTATCTACCTTTTTCGTGGTGTAGCGATTCTTTAAGATACTTATTTCAATTTTCGACACAGTGTTTATGACCATCCATATCGAAAGTGAAATGTGTATAATCTGGGATCGAATTTATTTTCTTAATGTCTGTAAAAATGTGGTGCAATGACTGCAGCGTTTGCTCTGAAGTTTAAACTGTTTATAAGCTTAACTCTCGCCTTTAATTTTGTCTGTAGAAATATACAACAGAGTTTTGATAGATGCGTTTTACTGAAATTCCAAAAATAATGCGCCTACTACGTATGACGTTCGAGTGAAAATATGTGTGCGAGTATGCCGATATTTGTTTTGCGTATTCGAATCTTATTTCGCATTGTTGCAGCATTTAAATGTAGTCACAAGCTGTGCGTCGTGCTCTCTTCCGTTACATGTTTGTTATCTGTTACCTAAATTACCGACGCCGGTCAAAACCATACAAAATCCCGGACAAATTGAGATTTTTCTCCGGACACCTCAGAATTTTTTTAAATGAAAACGTCGAGTTATCTTCATAATTTTTAATTAAATCAGTAATTTTTTTAGCTATTTCTTTAACAATGCTTGACAAAAATTGACAAAATCGGCTCAAACTTACAGCATGACAAGTGAAATACTCACGTAGTTATGAACAAAATACTCTTCTCTGTCATAGGTTATCTGGTAACAAAAATAATCAGGAACACTTTTCTTCTTGACATCAAATTAAAACCAAGTTATAATGACAAGTTTTGGTTCTGAAAATAATAAAATAAACTACAAACATACGACATAGTATGAAACAAATTATGTCATCTTGCTAATTAGGGTAGGTACCCAAAACTCTAAACTGTTCATAAATAATAATTAAAAAAGACACCTTGTATATGTTTTTTACCCAAATGAAGCTTAAATTCAAATATGAAATAGGCTAGACAATTTTCTTAAATGGTTAATATTTATTCTATTAGACCAAAAACTTAATACTATATTTTTTTCAGACCTAAAATACGGTAAATCTTTAGTTTATAAATATACTTTTCTGCCCAAGGAAATAAATATATGCAACCCTGTGTATTACTTTTTGACATACCTTATGTTTTGTATTTACGAATCCAACGCAAATGCTCGTGTTTTTCAACAAAACAAGAAAACGATAACTATTTACGTTGATTAGGAGTTTTTTTAGAAATATTTGAACAAGACAACGTTAGTCCACGTATGATTTTTCTTTGTTTACAATTTGTATGACGTCACATCATGGCCGATAGTATTTCACCATTTCGTATTAAAAATTAAAAATATCATCTTTTTTAAATTGGACCTATACAAGGTGGCCGATATGCAACTGACTGGTTTGTATTTTGAATATTTGTGAAATGAAATAAAATACGTCCATTCTTTCATCTTAATCCTTTATTGAAACTTAGAATTTATGTATGAACAATAATATCAGACAAATGTCGACCTCTAGAACCCGAGCAAACCTGAGCCCTCTTGATTACATTTTCCATCAGTTTTTGGTAAGTTTCGGGAGGAATATTTTCAATCGCTTCCGTAATATTGTCCTCCAGTTGCTCTACAGTATTTGGTTTGTTGGCAAGCTATTTTCCAAAAATCCCCATAAAACAAAGTCAGGAGCTGTTAAATCCGGTGACCTTGGTGGCCAGTTGACATCAGCAAATAGAGAAATTAAAAGTCCTGGAAATATTGTTCTCAAAAGATTAATTGTTTCCCTAGTTGTGTGACTAGTTGCTCGGTCCTGCTGCAACCACTTGTTTTATAGATTGGATCTGAGGAGCCAGGAAGTTTTGCACCATATCACGGTAGCGCTCGCCAGTGACAGTATGAGAATTTCCTACAGCGTCTTCAAAGAAGTAAGGTCCAATGACACCTTCATACCAAACACCGCACCAAACTGTGACTCGACGAGGATGTAGTGGTCGTTTATGGATGACACAGATATGACAATTCTGCTTATTAACAAATCCGTTAAGATTGAAGTGGGCTTCACCGCTCATTATCAGTTGTCGATAAAAATCGTTATTTTGAGTATTAAGCTGCAATATTGCATAACTGTATTACCGGCGACTATCATGGTCACTAGCCTGTAGTTATTGGGTTAGCTGAATTTTTTCTCTCCGCGAATGCAAGTCTTTTTTTAAAATAGTGCATAATGATGTGGGACGAATACCCAGTTCTTGAGAACGATGACTGGTAGACGTCTCAGGACGTTCCAATACAGTTTCACGAACTTTATCAATATTTTCTCAACAGTTCGAATACGGCCCGACCTTGGCAAGTCTTTAACTTCAGCTGTTTGTTCAAATTTCCGAAACCAACTGACGAATGGTGTTGACACTGGGCACATTATATCGACCGAAATCTTGTCGTAGCTTCCAATTCGTTGCAATAATCGATTCATTATTTAGGTAAAACGTTTTAACACGAACGCGTTGTGGGATAGTGTAGCGCTCCATGATGAATTGGACACATGTGCTTTAAACTAAGGCGCCACCTACTGAAGTGCGTGTATCAAAAATGACGCGCAATTTGAATCAGTCAGTTATATGTTGGCCATCCTGTATATCCATCTTGCGCTTTAAAAATTGAAATCAATATATTTCGTTTTCCTAAGCCAAATACTGTGAGAAATACTCGTTTATTCTAAGAGATTAGAAATGAGTCAAGCAGGCTATTACAGGGCAGAGTCTAGACGTAACATCAAAAAATGATATCAAAATAACCAAACTTTATGGACTGACAACGTCTTCGAATATGGTTACCATGGTTACCACCGTATTGAGGTGGTATTTTCGGTTGTTAACGTTTTATAACTAGGGCTTTTAAACCTTGGACAATATTTGTACGTAGAGTCGATGCTTTGGGTATCATGTCAATAAAAATAATTGGTCTTACTCTGGCTTAACGCAGTAATTAACTAGACTAGATCCAAAAATATCCTGTCCGAATCTATTTACATAACACGTTGGTATGCGTATACACCAAAATAGCACTTTTCCTCATTGACCCGCCTATTTTCAGACGCAACCAGTTGTGTGACTGCATTTACTGCTAAGTATTTTCCTTGAATTTCCATGGGCAGTGCCGTCGACGTCATAGCGTCATTTCAAGTAAATCAAAATAAATCGTTTTACCTCCGCAGATTTAATCCAATAACTTTTTTAATAAAAACATTTTATGTGTTTCTAGAACATGTTTGATTCCCGATCTTGGCTTAGATTATGGAGCTTATAAATCCTGCAGTAATATATTAGCTTTCACAACAATGCATCTGCAGTGTTCGTGGATGCGAAATGGATATATGGTGTTTCGACACCTCAAGGACAAGGAAAATTGCATAACGGAATTAATGTACAAAGAATAAGTAAACCAGAAGCTGCACTCGGGCAAATTACCCAGTGCAATATCCAGACGTCGTCAGATAAGCGATTGGTTACAAAAGGTCACGCGCATCGCTGTTTACAGCGTCAGGCGGCGGTAAATCGACGCGAACTCCGTACAGAGTCGGGCTTATCCGATCTTTCCAACAATCAATTTCCGATAGACCCGAACGGTCATATATAACAGATCATATCAGAGCAGCTCATAGGAAGGCAAGATCTTATCATTAATTTGTATTTGATAGTTTCTGATAGTCAGAACTTACTACCAGCTAGAGTTAAGTAATTTG